GTGTGTGTGTTTATATGTATGTTTGCGTGTGTGTGTGCGTGCGAGCGAGCGAGTGTGTGTGTGCGAGCGAGTGTGTATGTGTTTGCGAGCGAGTGTGTATGTGTGTGCGAGCGAGTGTGCATGTGTGTGTGTGTGTGTGTGTGTGTGTACACAACAATTTGTTTTCATTGCATTCATCTCAGAGAGTGGCAGTTGCTTCACTTTCTGCTACTAATTTCTTCTACAGTTCGAGCAGATTATCGGCAGGTTAAAGCCACTACACTGAAAAAAGTTCTTTGGCTTGTTGATTTTTTCGTATGATAAATTGACATTTTCGATTTTGCCAGAGAGACAGAACTGCTTTAACTTTACTTCTTCACCAGGCGATTTTTGGAGGAGATAATGTTGCTGTGCGACACGTTCGTTCGATCTGTGGGCATTTTTACAACAAGTGTGTGTATAAGGAGAAAGAAGAGCAATGTTTTTTTTTTCTTTCAAAAGGAATCTTTTTTATTTTCATAATTTCAGAATCAAAATGCTTATGAGGAAGCACATGCCAAGGAGCTCTACCTACCCCCAATGACCAGTACCGCTCGATCTCGTGCAAAACCAGCCGTCAATGGTGTAAAAACAAAGCCCAAGTTAACGCAACCGCTGTATTTTGACATTGTTTTTGTGCCACATCACGGCTCACATCCAATACTAAAAGACGAAGAGGCAGCCAGGGCTTTTGTGACAAGCATCCGTTCCAGGTATGTCAAAAATCATAACCCGCAGCTTTCTTCCCCTTTGAGCAGAGGATTCTGGTTTTGTCAAATTTCTACTGCTGCAACCGTTGTTCGCATGCATTTGTATGCTTCCAGCAATTTCTCGGATTTGTATTTTGTGTTAAAATTAATGCTTTCTTGGATTGTGAAATATTGCTTGTTTTTCAGACGATACATATTGAGTGGTCAGGACTCAATCAGAACATATTTCCTTGACGGCCTGATTGCCGGTAAAACTGCGTGGAACAAACCAGGTTAGCTTGAAAAGAAAATTTCCCCAACTTATTTATTCAGAAATGAGAATCAAATTAATCATCATTTAAATTACAGAACTTGAAGTGGATGTACTTCCAACGCATGACAGCGATGAATTAACTTTATACAGCCATGAAAAGGCAAGTTTTGTTCAATGTCAATAAGATTCTACTCTTGCTGGGACGTTAAGATTGTCGGGAGCCCATGACGATTTAATATATATTTACTTTCTTTTAAATGTCTGAAATTTCTTTTATCAGCGGTCTGCTTATCATTGCACACTATTTCTTTGAGTTCAGTTTTTAGCTCATTTTCCTCCTCATTTGTTTAAACTTGGCGTCTTGAGAGGTTTTGCGGCGAAATTGTTTCGCTGTGCTTTATTTTTATGGGTTTTTTTTTTTTTTT